ATATAAAAAGAACTGATAATTCACTTTACTAAAGTTTCACTTCAGCAACTCCACAAGGCTAAGACAGTTGCTTACTTTTTAACATGTACTATGCGAATCCCATCCAGGACAGTTTTCATGTCCTAAAATTGGAGCTAATAACTATAGAGAATGACCTAGGAGTAGCTCCAATAGGTGATAAAATGAGAGAATGTAGAGTAAGATGCTTTGGTATTATGCATAGATGACCATCAACAACATCCACAAGAAGTGATTGTTTGCAAGTTGAAGGAGCTAGAAGGGCCAGGGGTAGACCAAAAAAGACATGGGTAGTAGTAAGAAATGATTTTTAAGTGCCAATACTTTAACAATGGATACGGCATTAAACAGAACCAAACGGAGAAGCAGAATCATGTAGCCGACCCCATGTAATTGGGAAAAGGATTGAATGATGATGATAAACTATAAACGTAGTAATGATGTATGATAGGCCCACATTAAATAATCAAAATATTTACCAATTTATCACTATTCGGAATATTCAGATGTGGTACTTAATCCAGTTGCACCATTTGATAATGGATAGAAGAACAATTCTATAGACACCACAGAATCTAAGAAAAATTTGATCCATTCCAAAGATAATAATAGCATCCAATGATCCAATACACGGGGTATACAAAATGTATCTAAATTTATCAACAAGGAAAAATTCACAAGGAGGCATGCCAATGAACCCGTCCTTCAATTAGAAAGGGACGCATTTCTAAAAGATACCTGGTAAACTGAATCCATCACACATGACAAAAAGAAACTATATTTAACAACCGAGTACTCCAAGCATGACATTCCATAATATGACGTAAATGGGTCCCGGTAAGCCAATTGGAAAATAATGATAACAGAGATTGAGAAATACATATTATACATGGATGATGGCAATCGACTTTACAAGGTAAAAGATCACAGACTAAATATGGTAGGAACAATCCCTACTAAAGCCATGAGCAACTCAAAAAAAGCTATAAACAACGAGGAAAGAGCATAAGGAATTGTTAAATAAAATCTTCTGCTTCACCTTCAGACAGGGTAGGTCCTGCAGCCAACAATAATATATGTATACAAAATTCAAAGGCTTCAATTAGTATTCTGGTGTCTGCTCACTTGAAGAACCTCCTGTAGGCAACCAAAGTTTCTCTCAGGCATCCAAAATGCAAGTCAGGCTTGCTAAAAAAAGAGTTAGTGTACTCTTCTCTCTGGGTAACAATTTCAGAAGCTAACTAAATTTTGAGAACTATGCCCTATCATTCCCACCGAGAACCTTTTTTTTAGTTGAACACAAGTAATTCTCAACTTCTCATAGCCCATTAGCAAATGACAAGACTCCAATATCCACGTTTAACCCTCTTCCGGATCTAGTAAGCACTTAAATGAGCACTTGATAAATATTTTGACAAATGTCAAAAGTGAGTATTAATCTTTTTCAATGGGGGTATTTTAAGGGACAAATGTAAAAAGTGGGTATTAATCCGAACTGCCTCTTATATTATCAAATAGAACCAGTAACATCCGAATGTTCGAATTGTCAATGTTAAATGTCATTGTATTATTGAAGGAAAAAAATAAGTCTTTGATCCCGAATCCCATTAATCCACGACCTAATTTAGCTAAATGCCCTAGTTGTGGAGTTCCAGTTGTTCCGGCAATTATCAGATATTTCCCATCATGACATGAATATCGTTAGGTAATGATCCATCCAAACATGATATCTTACTAAAATAAGCTTGAATTTCTTCCTGGGTAACCAGAAACGAAACTCATTACGAATTGTCCCATAACTGAACACCCACTTCCTATTACCTCCGAACATGCTAGAAAGGAGAAGATCATCAAAAACGAAATCAAACCCGCGTTAACATTAAGTTCAACTTGAGAAATGAAGACCCAAAATGGATCCAAGACAAACCCATACTTTAACAATCTCAAACCCGTTTGCTTTTAAATACAAAGCCGGAGAAGGATACAGACACTGACCTTCAAAAGATGAATCCTGTGAGAGGTGGTTTGGCGTTTAGAGTCTGCAAAGCAGAAGATCCCGAGGTGCTTGACTTCATTTTGAGAGGGAAGCAACGGACAGCAATTAATAGCAGCAGCGGCTCGATTTGTTTGCATGAATCTGGAAACTTCTTAATTGATTTGTTTTATCTCTTTTTTTTCCTTTTCTCTGTTAGTTGGAAGAAAGCTCTAGACTCCAGAGCTCCTGTTAGGTTCATGAACCTGTGACCTCTCATTTTTATAGTTGACAGTTATTTTATTTTGCTCGATTAATAGTGATGGACGAAGCTCTAGAAATGGGCCCACAGGAACCACGAGCGTCGGGATCTGGAGGTTTCTATAATCTGTAAAGAACCCTCCATTGATCATTTTAGGTTCACCCGGTTCCACTAAGATACCACGGTCGGGTCTGTCAGTCGACAGGAGTTGAGTTAACAGGTGAGTTGACTCTGCGACGTGCCTCTAGATTCCATTCCGAGACCCGTGTGGGGAGATGTCAGTCGTGGACCGGATTAAGTGGTAAATTCGCGAGAAATTTTCACTTTTACCCTGAAGGCCTGAATTATGGGGTAGTGTCACTGCAGTATTTAAATTTTAAAAAAATATCAAGTAGGTCGTTGTTGTTAATTGATCATCAATTATCTGTTGATAATGTCAAAATTACCTTTCAAAAGAATGCACTATTCATTGTCTTCTAACTTGAGATTGAACCGATTATCTTCAAAGAGAAAAAAAAACATGAAATATGATGAAGGGAAACAACAATTGAAAGCAAATAAATAATTAGACAAAATGTGTTTTGGATCTAAAGGTAGAAGACAATGAATTCATTAGTCTAAAATCTCAAACACCTCAACCGGTTCACTTCCAAGGTAGAAGGCAATGAACATTGTCTTCTTTTGAAGGGTTGTTTTGACATTTTCAATAGATAAATGACGATTGGTTAATAGCAAGGACCAACTTGACACTTTTTGAAAGTTTAGGCACTGTAGTAACATGTTTGAAAGTTTGGATACTAAATTAACACTACCCCAAAGTTCAAGGTACTAAAGTGGAATTTTCCCTAAATTTACATTCATGCAACATTATTGGTTTTTTATTAGGAAATTCTAAAAAATATATATTGATAAAATAAATATAAATTTTATATAATTATAAATAAGTTATTTAACATAAGGATTCATATAAAGTGTGGGGTATTGGGATAGAATTAGAAACTTTCGAAAAATGATTAAATAATTAAAATGCATATGTAATACCTTAATTTAAAAAAAAAATCAACATAGTTTATGTTAATATCCATTAAGATATAAATTTTAATAATCAATTTTAACATTTATTGATAAACAACTACTAAGAAGGGAAAATTTACTTAAGAATCAAAACAAACATGATTATGACAGGTAATTAGAATATACCATAGTGGTGGACTTATGAACATTACAAACTAATGACTGAATACATTTAGAGCATCGATCAATATAGGCCAATGTGGGCCCTATCAACCCATTACAAAAGAAAAGGAACAAAACTTTGGGTTTCTATGCGCTTGATTTACAGATGGACCGATATAGCCCGATGCTTTGCGAAATTGTACTTTTGGTTGGGGGTAGGGGTGCCCACGGTTCAGTCTGTGGGCATTTTTTTGTAACTGAATTGGTACTACCGGTTTTTGAAAAAACTGTAACTGAAACTAATCGATTAATCGATTGACCGGTTTGGTTAACCATCAATACAATTTTTCGGCTTTTTTTATTTTTACAATATATATTATACAAATACATAATAAAAAATTTTAAATATATAACGCATATTTATTAATTTATAATATATAAAAATATTAAATATAGATAAAATATATATAACATACATACATACATACATACATATATATAAATGTATGTATACTGATCAGTTTAATTAATCGCTGATTTTCTATATTGATTAACCAAAACCGAACTAGTACCTACGATTTTTTTAAAACACCGAACCAGCCGATTTGGTTAACCGATTTTTTGGTTCAATTTCGTTTGATTCGGTTTTTCCTTTTTTTTTTTTTTTTTTTGCTCATGCCTAATTGGGAGTGACAACATACTAAGATAAACATAACATGAAGCTGATTGATCCTACTATGGAAAACCTGTAATACAACAATGACCTAGTAACTAAGATGGCTACTCAATGTCCCTCTAAATGCGGACCCGAAAGTGTTGTGTGGTTCGTTCGGGCTTAAAGTTATATACTTACATCATTCATGAACCAAGCTATAATGACGAAACTTACATGACGTCTTCTGTCTAAATTTCGTGCCTTTGGGGAGTCTAGAATTCTAGTAGAATTTTGCGAGCCAAGTACTGTTCAAAGTTCTCTCATGGATCTCGTGTTTGGGTGTTTGAAAGTTATTTTTGTGACAGTTCAGAGTATTAAAACCTCAAAAAGCATTATAAATGCAATTCTAAGAAACGTATCAAGCTATGCATGAATTCGCTGAAAAAGATCAACACACATGGATATGCCAGGGGATCTCAAATAAATCCCCAGAGATATATCAATGATACTAAACCAAGTTTTAGAAGACCACTTACTAGGTATGTACAATATATTTTATATGAATTATGAACTATTAGTAACACACCTACAAAATGTTGAACATGGTATAACTAAAGCATACATGTATATCTTAATTCTTAGAAAACCAATATCGGAAGGACTCAAAACTTACCAGCCAAAGTTGCAGCATTACACCAATCATAAGATAAGTCTACAAGTTAAACTTTAAAACTTATGACTATGACAAAGTAATCGGAGTATGGTGTAGTGATGAATTGGTTGTTTTTATCCTAAAGATCACGACATAGAACCTTTTAAATTGTAATAATTATGCCATAATGCTATAGTTAAAATCAGGGTAATTAAGAGCATGAAAAGCTAAAATTCTTTTTCCTTAGATCACACTGGCAAGGGCATAGCTTGCAATTTATTTTCATTTTGATGATGGGAAGATCCCAATAACTGAGGAATCCAGCTTAAAGCGCTTCCACGATGACAAAGTGATGATGGCTATGGATGCAGTATTCGTTTGAAGATAATCAGATTTACAACACACGCACACAAGTAACAGACAGAACACATCTTGTGCTTTTGAATTTAAAAAAGAAAAAGTAACAGTGAGACAACTTTTGAGAGATCATTTGCAAAATAAAGAACAAGCCTTGTGCTGTTGACTGTTGTGCATTCCCATATTGTTCCTTCTTCATAGATTCTTTTTGCTTCTTTCTTTTTCCTTCACAACAATTATGGACAGAGGTCAGATGTGTACAATTTCAGAAGCTGCCAAGCTTCAATGAACTAGACCCCTCCCCAAGAAAACACAAATAATATTTATATATATCTCCTTTTTCTTTTCTTCCTTTTCTTCCTGAATCTATAACTGTTATTCCCTAGTTTACTAGTCACTACCTAAAGACTAGAGTAGATAAACTCATAAACATACTACTTCCCTGTCGCATGGCATCCCTCCACTGCACTTCGCGCAGTTGCTTCAAGGAACCCCACAGCATCAGACTGACAGTTCTGGCTTTATTTGTGTTGTGGTCCCCACTTCGAATGAACCAACTCACAAATTCAGTCTTCTCCGTTTTTTTTTTTTATTTCCTCTACATTTTTTGTCTCTGTGTTTGTTAATAGATTCTGCAACATGTTTTCTGCTGTACCTGCTCTTCGAGCCTTGGCACAACTATAAATACAATAGCACCATTCCACCTCTCCTACTCTAATTTGGATTTGGATCCTATGGATTCTCAACAACCAAACGTTGCAGGTGCTTGAGGGGAGTCAAGAGTTGCTGAAAAGAAGGCCGCAATTCTGGCTCACTGCACAAGGAACACAAAAAAAAGAAACAATTGAGATGAATACAATCTAGGTGAAATATCCATGAATTCTATTGTTGAGAAGCTCATCATTAAGTCTATTACTATGAATACTTTTTTTTATCAATATATGACTATGAATACTCGTAAAGCTGAACACCAAACAACAGTATGATGCCTATCTGGAGATATAATGGAATTGGAAACATACTTCTGCCAGCAATCACATATGATCTGCCTGACTGCTGGGTCCACTTCTTCAGGTATATCAAGGCGTCTATTTTGGAACCCTACAGCTCCAACAACTTGCATAGGGTTCATCCCACTCCATGGCATTCGTAGAGTAGCCAATTCCCACAATATCACACCAAAACTGTATACATCACATCTGCAAACAGGCCAATTTGATTCTTCAATCAGGAAATGAAGATTTACAGAGAGCTAAATGAACACAGATGTGTGCTTGCACCCTGTCACGGGGGGGGAGGGGTTACAGTTGATCACTTCTACCTGGGCCTGCATTGCCAGTCCTGGCCCATCACAGAAATTTCCAGGCCCAGGCAGAAGGTTTTCTTCCAAGCCTGGTCTGGGCCCTACAATTCTAGGTCCAGTCCGGAAGTTTGCATTAGACAGAAAGGAAGGGGGGGGAGTGCTAAAAATAATCAAGATTCCACTCACTTCTCATTGGATCTTTCATTCCTTAGAACTTCAGGTGCCATCCATTCTGGCTGCAGTGCAAATAACAAGACATAAATACTGTAAAACATTTTTTTATCAACAAGGAAACTGCAAAAAACATGCAGAAACATAGAAGCTAACATCTAATTCCTAAGCAAGAAATAAAATTGTTGTATCGTTTCCATACAAGAAGATTAAAAGCTGATGTGATAATGGATGAAAATGTAAACAACCAGATAGAAGACATTTTGAAAGCTGTCATGTATGAGAGAATTCTTGTCTATAGGTTTCTAAAACATTGGATGCATGGTGATGGTATGCAATATCCCCAAAATTTGTCGATATTTCCTACTTTAGGTTGCATCTGGAGATTATGCGAAGGGTAGTCCAAGAGAAATTGCCTCATGGGAGTTTGGCTTCTGTATTGCTTCTTTCAGGTGTCCCTCCATACACTTTGGTTGCTGTTTTTCTTGTTAGTCATATGCCCCAAAATCAATAGCCAATAGTGCAACACTAAAGAAGGGCATTCTTGTACTATTCACATTTATTAATAAAAGGGAATTTTGTCATTCATGTCTACTAATGTTGCATTTTACATGAATAGTCCGAAGTATCTATGTCAAGATTGTGTATTCTTAAGTGTGCTAAGAATTTGAGACATGCTGATCTTGGTACAGGATATTTGAATAGTTCCTGGGGCAAAATGTAAACAAAGTATGAGGGTGTGCTCACTAAGAAGAGTCTTAATACAAGCACCTCTTTGTAATTAAAGGGGACCTGATTGTGATTAGGAGAAAACTTACGAGATAGGTACTCCTAATAGGAAAAGGAGAACTCTATACAAGAAAGAGAAGGGGCAGCCTAGGGTTTGATCTGAGACTCTCATGGCTCTCTAAAACCCTACTCTCTCAAAGGATTGCTAGCACAACCCCTGGTTCGCCCCAACCCTCCTCTCTCTCCCTTTTCTTTCGTGAATCGCCATCCTCATTGTGAAAGGGAGCTCTGGACTGCTGCTGCTTGGTTTGGACTGATTTAGAGGCCAAACAATTGTGAGGCTGTAATTTTGAATCTACATCTTCCAGACTCTCTCAGTGCAAATCAATCTGCAAATAGGTATGCAATTTAGCTAGTTTTTGAAACTAGGGTTTTGTACACCATCATGGGCTGATCTTGGTTATTCAAGATTCTATTAAATTTTAATTTTCCACTGCATAAAGATCTCAAAGAATTCACTAGAATCTTTTCAGTTCTTGCTATTTCAGCCTTATATCCATTAGGACCATAAGTCGGGTTGCTCAATTTGAAGGATTTCAACTACATCAGGTTTGGATTAGGGTTTTGGGCCCCATTGAAAACTTAACAAGTACCCAACCCAACAAGAACCAAGTTGCACCCTGAATATCCACCCTTTCAAACATGAGCAAAGCATGAAGGAAACAATCTAAAGAGTATATATCCCTTGCCTAACTATGCCTTTTTTTGCTTTTATACCCACAACACCCCCCAACCCAGGCAAAGGCTCCTGCCTTTGGCACCTTCTCCCTTGCCTAACTATGTCAAGTAGCTAAGATTCCATAAATACTAAGGGGTCATTCACATATAAGGAAAGAGAAATATGAACTGATAAACTGAGTCAAATATAAGTCCATAGTAGAACATAACACTAGTGTCAAATCATGCAAAGCACAGGAAAAGATCACACTAATGTCAGTCAATGTTTTACTCAAAAGAGAATGCTAACAGGGATTCCAGTACATGCAAAGCACAGGAAAACAGGAAATTCTGAAGAGATATATCAAAACACATTTTGGTATCAAGTATTACCGTTCCAGCTGTAGATTTTGAAGACAGGAAAGTGTTGTGCTTCAAACGTGACAGGCCGAAATCACAGACCTATAGAAATGCACAACCAAGCATATCAGCAGATTCTCACCATCAAAAAATAAAAAAGCCGAACTTGGTCCCCAAATGACAAAAGCTTTAACTTTAAAGTGAGAAAGAACATTTCATTCCTGAGGTAATTTAAATACTAATGTCAGAAATACAGAATAATTAGTTCATGCAATCAGATATCACTTGTGCTTCAACAGACTGTTTATAATGGGTGAACCTTATTAAAAGAGAACAACTGCATTACCAATTTATAAATAACTAAGGAAATGTTGGTCAGAATCAAACCTTCACAACCCAATTTTTATCAACAAGGAGATTTGGGGACTTCAGATCTCTATGTACAATGGTAGGATGGCTTGTATGCAAGTAATTCATTCCCTTGGCCTGTAAATAATTGTATAATTCAGAAAATGAATTAAACGAATTTTCTCTATGATAGTGGCTTGTCAATACATACCACATCAAGGGCCATTCGCAATCGCCGCTTTTCATCAAGTTGAACACCAGAACGATGCAATAGCCTATATAAACTCCCCCTGTTGACAAACAAATAAAAGGATATTCAGGATATCTAGTTCAAAGTTGGTGGTTAGTATCTGAAATTAATGCATAAGCTTCATAAGAAGACAGAATACGAAAACAAATTACAACTAGCTCTGTAACCACCACCAAACTTCTTTTTTTCCTTGCAAGGTAATTTTGTGGATAACAGAAAACCTAAATCACTTGGGCTAGATATTAGGTCATTGCTTGGTTTAATGAGAGGCCTGTGTGTGTGTGTGGGCTTTTTTATTCCTAAAAGGAGAAACATCCAGTAGTCCTAGAACTACTACAAGTATGGTAGTATCTAGTTTATTTGAGAACTTTTTGACTAAAGCACAGCTTGATTGACTGCCTTCAACCATAAAAATGGATTGTTTTCCAAAGAACATGATTCTTATTTCTTAAATCAGTGAAAATGTTAATAGAATTTAAGCTTCATTGGCAGTATTTAAATTATAGTAGTCCGAGGACTAATCAATGGGCTCCCTTAATAAAAGATAGTAAAAAACAGAATCTTAGTATTCCTTGACAAAAAAACAATATATCCCTCAAAGAGAAGTTGAAACTTGTTTTTTCAGGAATATATAATGAGATGTTTACAATTTGACAATTCCTTTCCTTTTGTTTCTTTTCTTAACATACTGGCTAGTGGGTAAAGATAGGTTGTTGACCCAGGTCTTTGGGTAAATTCTAATTAATAAAGGGCGCACACCCCTATTAAACAGTGAATGTTTTAAAGGACAAAAGTACCCTATGTATCCATGTCTGCCATTAATTAGCGGGGGTATCTTTTGTCTTTTCACCGGGGATGGTCCCCAATTACTCAAAAATAGATTGAGACACTTAGTTCTCAAGAATAAATACAGCAGGTCACTAATAAACTGTGTGTGATGTTCTAATATCCACATTTCATTTTAGAAGTAAATAAAGGTACATTAGTCCACATTGTCCAATCATGTCTCTAGCATCTTCACATCGGTATCACATCAACAAGTGTCTAATACATCAAAATCTATATGGAGAAGTGTCCCACATATTGCAACAATTTATTTATTAATTAATTTTTGATAACTTTAACAAATCAGGTTTACTTGATTTTGGAATAATATTCTTCATATGGTTCTTTGATGTTCTTTTCCATCTTTTCTATCTTATTTATGCACTGTAAGTTCTCCTTGGCTATTTGGTTGCTCCTGGGTTGGGGTGGCATCTTTTTTTTTTTCAATTTTCTCTATTTGTGTTCAACAAATTCTTCGTCAACAACAAAAGGCCAAACTATAAGAAGCTTTGAATATACAGAGTGAAATTGACAACTATAACAACCTTGGAAGAAACTCTGTAAGTATTGAGAGATTTGGGGGGCGAGTGACTGCTCCCATAAAAAGAACAACATTTGGATGCCGCAGCCTTCGCATGATCATAACCTGCATTAAGCAGCATGAAAGGAATTCAAAAATTCAGCAAAGAAAAGAATAAAATCAGGAACTGAATTCACGATACTTAGAGAAAATTTGGTTCTTACTTCACATCTGAACTGTTGTAATGCATCACCAGAGAAATCTTGATCTAAGAACTTCTTCACAGCAACCTCCTGTCATGCCATATTAATACCATGATATCAATACAAAGCAGGTAATAAACCAGCTGAGCTATCATGGTCAAAATGCAGACCATATAATGCAATCTCATTACCAATCAGACCTAAGAATGGAAGACGTAGGGGTGTAAACGGATTGAATTCAAATTGGATCAGGCAATATCTGAATTCGAATCCAATTAAAACATTCGATATCCGACAGATATTGAAAATTAACATTTTAATTCGAATTTGATTAAATATTCAAATAATTGATTCAATTCGTAATTTGACTAATTAATTATTTTAGGCAATTAATAAATATATAAAATAAATATTTTATTTATATAAAGTATATAAATTATTTAATATACTTTAATTATATTTATAAATTATATAAAACATTTAAACATTTTATATATTATATATAAGAATTAAATAATCGGTCGAATTTGGATATTTATCAAATTGAATCAGGTCATATCCAAATTTGACCGATTAGATATTCGAATTATCCGAATTCAATTCGATTATGTCAAATCTCGAATTCAGAATCGGATTTTCGAATACCATTGACATCCCTAGGGAGACAGACTAGACATACATCAAAAAGCAATGTTTCCGAACTGTTGTTGACCTAGACGGTGGGACCGTTCAGCCCAGGAACTGTCCAGGCAACTGGTTCCATTTTGCCCCAAACCCAGTTCCTAGCCAAAAACCATTGAATTGGTAAATGACCCGTTGACCTGGGCAGTTGAACCGTCGACCTGTTCAACAGTTTTTGGCCTTTTATTTTTAATTTGGTTGTCAGAACAGGCCGTCCGTTCGAACCTGACAGTCAAACCATCGACTCAGAAACCAGTAACCAAAACGGTTCTGGTTCCGGGTCGGTTTTTAAAACTTTGTCAGAAAGTACTAGATATGGTAGATAAAAGAACACATTTGCACTTCTAGTAACAATATATTCATATTTCTACTATAGCAGCTGAAAAGTTTCATGAGTCAAAACCATGGCCAGTATAGTAGTGGGCCAGCTTACACATAATGAAATGGGGTCTTGGAAATACAGGCATATAGCGTGAGGGAAGCTAGAAAATTGCTGGCTGAACTGAAATGAGTGCCACCTTCCATTGGACACATCATGCAAACACTTAGGCTGATGCTTTGGCCACGCAAGGAGTTCATAGAGCTCAATAATTTTTGGGGGAGAATGGCAGAATGCTTTGGGAATCAGTTGTAAATATTGTATAAAATCAAACTGAATAGAATGACAAAAATGTGGCCAACCCCATATAGTTAGGACAAGGCTTAGAAGATGACGATGATGATTGGGGGCATACAAAGTCAAAAAGGACAGGTGAATTGGTTATGCTTTTATTAGTGTTGACTAAACAAAAGTTCACATGATTCAACATTATATCACAAGTAACTACTATAGTAGACAATACACTTGTGAAGTCATGGCATCATGAAAGATAATAGAATGACCAGATCTTAGAAACACAAACAGTCCCAGTTCAAAATTCACTGTGAACCATTATTCAGACTCAGAAAGGATTATTAAAGGGAAATGCATGCTCAGAATGCACAGAGAAACCATCATTGCTGTTAGTAATTGAAGCATATAAAATAATTAAATAGTATATCAACATCACAAATTCCAAGTGTTTAAGGATGATACGAATGTTTATGTAACTTACAGTTCCATTCCAATCAGCATGATAAACCTCACCATATGAACCTGGAACATAACAAAATCTCAATCAAATATAAATGAGTAACCATAGAACATCATCAAGTAGAAAGCTAGCCTTTATTGATAATGTAGACAATTTTTTATCAGCAACAGCGATGTTTATTCATATTAGCAAGTGTACACAGTGTACAACAAGGAGAGAATATGGGAGGAAAATAACAAAACATATAAGTATACACTTTAGTCTGCTCCATCAAGAGCCCCTCCCAAGATCACTTACAAATTACCACAGAAGGTACTCTCCCCACCTTAATTCTGGCCTACTACTTCTTCATGAGCCAGGAAACCAGCCAAAGTGTTTGCTGATCTAGGCACCTAGAGTATTTCTGCTTGTAACCTTACATATAGTAATCTGGATTCCCTTATTTGATGTCTAAGTCTCAATGGTCTGTTGCTCCCCTCAGCCAATTTACAATTGATTTCAGATCCCTTTCCACCATCAACTCCTGGTATTGTGATTACAAAAGCAAATTCCAATCCTTGTATCACTACTTCTAGTTCAGAAACTTTTTTTTTTTGATAAATTCTAGTTCAGAAACTATTGAGTTTGCATTTCCAATAGGTCCTGAAAACTGAAGCCACAATATTTGCAAGGGTGATTTCTGAAGACTCCACAGTCTCCACCAATGCATGACAGAGACAGACCTGGATTCCCTCAGATTGCAGCAAACAAATTTTTCAAATTCATTCTATTGATTGGGAGGGAAGGGAAGGGAATTGTGGGAGGATTTCTCATTATTGTGGATGTAGTTACCAGGGATAACTTTGGCTGTTGGGGGCCAACAGCCTATGCTGTTGAGAGCGTTTATGGGCTGGACACGTTCACCCATTCACGTCCATGTCTATCTTTTTGGTCAAAAGGAAATAGGGGACAATTACTATTTTACCCCACTATCATGGTAGCATGGCATTCCCAAAAATGTTCTCAACAGCATGGGCTGCTGGCCCCCAACAGCCAAAGTTTTTTGCCGTTACCATGGGCCAGCCTCTTAATGTCATCAGAAGACTGATAAGTCATCACATGTTTTCACCTAATGACCAATTCTGACCTTGATTAAATTGATTAGGTCTTCCAGAGCCACACTTTTCACACTTCTTTTTTCCCAAGTGGACCATAAAATTGCAGCTTTTGCATGCCTCCAAAGAGTCTTGTCTCTTTTCCTTTTAAGATAAAAAAGATGGGCTGCACAATGTTGATACATCTTGGAGGACAACCGTGCATCTTAAAACAATGACAAAAATGTCTCCAAATACATTGAACCAATTGACAATAAGCTCGATGTGGTTTCATTGCTTACTTTACAAAGGACAGACATACTAGGTGAAAGAACCTAATTCGGCCTTCTTTTCTGTAGGACTTCTCAAGTATTATTTTTTATGATATGTAACCCAACAAAAAAGACCTTATCTTAAGAAGTTTAGATCCAAATCCATATTGCCTTGGTCGGAAGGGATTGGGGCAAATTATCTGATGGCAAGAGAGCTTTGAAAAAAGTAACACATGAGAAAATACCCATGCTATCAGCTATCCATATTCTTAAGTCTTTTACGTCAGCGTCAAGAAAAGCCTCATCTAACAATAAAATGAGGTGACAGAGCTCTTGGAGCTAAAAATCCCTAAATCCTCTATGACATCCAAGGTCCCAAGATGGTGGATGAACATTAAGATTGACCAAAGAGACAAAGGTTGATTCTTGGAGATGAAATGGAGTAAATTCTTAGAAACATCTCTTTTAAAGGTAATTCCCCCAGTCGCAAGTCTCTGCAGAATTTTATTCAGTCCCCTTTTCCTGCATCATATCTAATATGGAATATGAACAAGTCCAAGGGTTGATGTAATGCTATCCAAGGTGCACAGTAGCCAGCTTTGTATCCCATCCATTTGGGTTCCTACTGATAATGTAGACATGTTCATTGAAAAACTATCAACCTCAGATGAAAACCAAAATCATGATCATCAAAAACGTTTTTAGTCTACTTGGTCTAAATTCTGTAAGGTCAGATAAATTACCTCAGAATTAAATTAACCATTAATTTTTTCAACTATTTCAGATATTGCAGTAGATATGTTTTTCCTTTTCTATGACACTACTCAAAGATGATTACTGGAGAAATAAAATGAAATTAAAATCTGCTAGATATTTCAGAAATCAAAATATTTAATGTTATCATAATTCTTCAAGGTATAATACCCAATAAGTTCTTTACTTCCAATGATGTTTTTTTTTGATAAATCTTTACTTCCAATGATGTTTTGGATTTCAATTATAACCATAAGATGGATAGATTTGTAAAAGTTATAATTTGTCCATTTGAATTTCTTATTTTATTCTCTACTTTGTGCTTTTGTTTTTCCTGAAGAAAGGAGAGATCACCAACCAAATAATTTAGGTAAACTTTTGATTAGAACTTTGATATCTGGTCCAAATTATGATTAAGATGTTATTTTCTCAACCAAAAACTCTTTGTACGTTTTCATTTATTTTGGAGACTTGGGGTGGGGGTGGGGGTAGGGGAGGAGCTAACACAATGCATTGTTTGGAACATGGGAAAAATCTTTCTTTTAATTGTGCAAGTAATATGTAAGACAAGTGAAGTGCAGGCTAGTAAATAATTGAAGACCATTAAGAGATAGAGAAGAAACCACTTGCATAATCTTACCAAGACCAATTCGCTCACCAATCTGAAGATCCTCCCATGGAATCTCCCATTCTGCAACTTCATCAAGCTGTGTATTGACTCTCTCACAGTCAATATTGCTATGTTGCTCACTACTGGCCATTTCCATGGGCTTCACAACAAGTCCTTGTTCATTGTGTGGATTCTCTTGCAAACAAATGTTTCCTTTAGTTTCCACATACTCTGCAATTCCACCTGCATTTCCATGACTGCTTAGGGGAGCAGCACCATTTAAGACACATCCAAGTTGTCTTTCACGAGATTTAGCCAGATGTGGCACTGAAGATTCTTGAATTTGTTTTCCATATGAAGTTCTTGGAACAGAAGCTGAACCAACATCTATGAAATCATGGATCACTTCTCCATTTCCATTCCCAATCAACACAAACCCCTCACTTGTAGCCAAAGAAGATAAACGGTCATCAGCACTGATGACATTCATGTCAATAACAGGTTGATGATTTGAGATGCCACAACGTGATTTTTTTGCAGATAGTAAACTTGCAGTTGGTATCAAAAGTTTAAGGTCTGAAGAAATATCTGCATTTCCTTTCTGTATTCCTGTCATATCCTGAGCAGAACATTTTTGCTTATTTTTATAGGCAACATGGTTTAAGGATTCCTCCTCAATGAAGGGTACAAGAACATGTTCAACACTTGAGGGAAGCTTATCAAAACGGCATTCAAATCCATCATGATTTTTCTTGGTTTTATTTTCTTCAACAAGATTTACTTTATTTGCTTCCAATTGAAAGACACCAGATACTTCAACCGAACCTGAACTACTAACTTCTCTATGATCAAGATCAGATGAAATTCCTCCTGAAGCCTGCGTAGTGTTTTCAGACTGATAGTTGACCTTGTCAGGTGCCAAACATGAATCATTTACACCCTCTGAAATGCTCATAGATCTTGTCACATTGAATCCAGAACTTTGAATATGGCTATTGGGAATCTCTGCAGGAATCAGAGTGCCTGGAGCCCCCATTAGATCAATTATGTACTCACTGCATCACAAGAGATTGAATTAGCATTGTGGTTCTTTATATCAAATGAATTCTGGCATAGAAGGTCATCTATTTATAATGTATTTCAAAAAGTTGGACAATGGAACTGTTTAGTTTTTTTGATGGATAACAAGACTTTTATTATATGGTAAAAAGAATGGGTTAATTACATAATATACATAGTGTTGTTCAAACTTTTCATGAGACTGGCATATGCCCCCTCCCCATACGCCTCACCACTTATGTGTTCTTCTTACAAGACTCACCAATACAGCTGTCCCCCCTATTTACCTTTTGTCTGGCCAAAGCACCGGCCAGCCCGTTTGCTGTTCTGTAGGTCCAAGAAAAATGTGCCCCCAACTCTTTTAGGTGAGGGGGACTCCACGAGGGCAGAACTAATAGCTGCACTACAAGGGGTACAATTTGCTGCACAACTAGGAGTGGAGCAGCTACTAATAAGTGATTCTCAGGTGGTTGTGGGGTGGTTACAAAAACCAGAGACTACAGTTTGGTGCATATGGGAATGGTTCTTTTCTCTCTTTGGATGCAGGTGGGATACCCCGGTGAGCTTGGGAAGACTGTTTGATGCCTCCACTTTCAGGTGGCCAAAAAGAAGAGGAAGAACTCTGTGGAGATGCACACGGGCAGCAGTGCTTTGGATGTTATGGGAGGAAAGAAATCTGAGAATTTTTTAAGGAAATAAAAGGTGTAAGGAGTTACTGATAGAAGGGATTATGATAAAAGTGATCTTATGGGTAAAATCTATAGGTTCATTCTCAGACTTTACTGCGGATGATACAATCAGGAACTGGAGGACTGTAGCATCCTCGTCATCAACAAAAAAGAAGGTGTTAAGACGTTGGGATCCTCCTGAATCTGGATTCCTCAAATTAAACTTTGATGGGAGCAGCTTTGGCAACCCAGGTGTGGCTGGAATTGGTGGAGTCATAAGAGATGACATGGGGAAAGTAGTGGGGCTGTATTCGGGCCCTATTGGATGGGGAGACTCCATTACAGCTTGTTGAGTTGGGCCAATTTCTAGTTATTGGGCCCAGTTATTTACCTCTTATTTTTAAGTTGTTAAGTTAGGAAGTTGTTGGGCTTTAGGCCCATTAGCTTATGCTTTTTAGTTGTGACTGCTCAGCTACTTTAGTAGCCGCCCTACTAAGGGCATTCTTGTAATCTTTTATTCTTTTAAGTATAAAATATAATGAGGGGTTGGCGGCCAGAACTAATTCAATTCTGGTTGGCATCCTACTCTTTCTTTCTTCTATTTTCTTCTCTACTGCTGAAACTCTTCATCTTCTTCTTTCTCTTCACAAGGAATTCATCTAGATTTGCAAACAGTGATTTCTACTTGGTATCAGAGCGGGCCGAAGGTTCCTTGAGCTGTTTTCTCATGCAGCCATAAATCGGCAGACTACATGGTGATTTAAGAGGCTGATCAAAGATCTCAAGTAAGCTCAGTTTTTGGATTTTTTGGTGGATTTGTTTTGCCCTATAGCTAGTCTAGGGTTTCCCATCAAAATCATGAAAAATTGGAGAAAGGGGGAGAGTCTTGTTTCTATTGGACTCTTCAATTTTGACCTAGGAAGTGGTGCCCTAATTTTTAGGGTTCCTTGAAGTTTTCTGTAGGGGGCGGTTCAAGTCCTGCCTGATATGGAGGTTTCTGGAGAGAGCGGCTACCTCTTCTCTCTCTTCTCCCGTCCCGTAGAAAAGGAATCTTTTGTGGAAGGACCATCTAGGGCACCAGAAGGGTGTCGTTGGTACCAAAAGTGATTTATTTGATATTCTTGCATATTACAGTAATCTTCTATCCCCTTTTTGAGAAGTATGGAGGGTAACGGAGTTGAAAACAAGCCCGGGAGTGAAATGAGACCAGTGGGAGGAAGTGCTGGAGACCTTTACGGGGCTGGGACCATTACTATAGTTAAGTTGGATGGTTCGAATTACTAAGAATGGTCACAATCTGCAAAGATGGCCATTGGTGCTTGTGGGAAGTTAGGGTATATCACTGGTGAAGAAGTGAAACTTGAAACTAACAGCTCTCGGTGGGTACAAGAGAACTATATGGTGATGACTTGGCTGTGTAATTCCATGATGCTCCATATAAGTAAAAACTTGGCACATAAACCTATTCACAGAGGGAGAATGTTGCTAGGACTTATCAGTTGAGAAATCTGATTATTGCTACAAGGCAGGGAGATAGACCTATTGTTGTTTACTTTTCAGCCCTTAAAACCCTATGGCAGGAGATTGACCATTTGGAGACAGTTGTTTGGGAAACCACTAAGGATGCAGCTACCTACCAAAAGCTCCTAGAGAAGTATAGGGTGTTTGAATTTCTTGCTGGCCTTAATCCCGAGTATGATATTGCAAAACAGCACATTCTTTCCAAGGACAGTGTTACTCTCTCCCAAGCATATGCCTTTGTGTTAGGGAAAGAGAGCAAGAGAAATGTGATGATGAAAAATTTTGGGTTTGATCAATCAGCCATGGTTAGCACTGTGAGACCTAAACAAGGTGGAGACCGGGGTGGCAGTGAAATCAAGAAGGATTTGATCTATGACTACTATAAGAAGTCTAAACACACAAGAGATACTTGTTGGAAGCTTCATCCCCATTTTGTGCCAAATAGACTCGACAATAAGAAGGGAAATGCTCACATGGCAGTCACTGGTGATATTCCGGCCCCTCCTACTATAGCTACTCTGGAGTCTATAGCAGCTGCTATAGTAAGGGCCGAACTTGAGAAGTATGGGCAGTTTCTAAATCAGCGGGATACAGGCAGTTCTAGTTCAGCAACAGGTGGACAGCCAGGTATAGGTGGTACTATGGAGCACACTCTACTTCCTTTGCTCACACAAGTAGTTCACATGCCACTGCAAATTATGTTTCTACTTCAGGTAAGGAGGGACCTCCTTGGATTATAGATACTGGAGCCTCAGAGCACATGACCCATAGTTCCACTATTTTTTCTTCTTACCAGCTTTGTTCTGGCAGAGACAGGCTCTCCACAGCTGATGGATCTCATGTTCCCATTGTTGTGAAGGGGTCTGTCAAGATTAGTGATTCCATTTCCCTTCCCTCTGTCCTTCATGTTCCTAGATTGAATACTAATCTGTTATCTGTTAGTAGTTTGATTAAGAACCTGAATTGTTCAGTAATTTTTTCTCCCAGTCATTGTATCTTGCAGGATCTGGATTCAAAGAGGACGATTGGGAGTAGTCGTGAAGTGAATGGAATCTACCTCCTAGATGTGCTTCCTCCTCATCAGAGTCATCATGTCAGCAGGGATAGTGAGTCAGGTCATTTGCCTTTTTCTTCTTTGAGTCTTTTGTTTCCAAAGCTATTTGAGTCGGTTAGTTTGTCAAGTCTGGAGTGTGAAGGTTGTCAACTTGGAAAGCACTGTAGACATTCCTTTAAAGCTAGTAATAAAAGATGTTCATTTCCTTTTGATGTTATTCATTCTGATGTGTGGGGACCCTATTATGTTCCTTCTATGGGTGGTTATCGATATTTTCTCTTATTTGTGGATGATTTCTCTTGATATTCTTGGATTTACTTGACGAGATCCCGAGATGAGGTACCATCCTTGGTAAGGCAATTTCATCAGATGGTGCTAACACAATTTGGAACACGAATAAAGATGTTCAGATTAGACAATGCCAGGGAATATTTTGAAAAACACCTTGCTTCATATCTGTTAGAATATGGTGTTGTCCATCAGAGCAGTTGTTCCTACAGTCCACAACAGAGTGGTGTTGCAGAAAGGAAGAACAGACACATTGTTGAGATTGCAAGAAGCATGATGATCACATCTACAGTTCCAGTTCGGTTTTGGGGTGATGCAGTTCTCACAGCAGTATTTTTTATTAACAGGGTGCCCTCCCGTATACTTGGATTCAGCACCCCATTCAGTCTCCTTTTTCTTGAGGGGGAGATGTTTCATATTCCTCTCAGGGTGTTTGGGTGTATTTGCTTTGCACATATCCTTGGTCCTCACCACTCAAAACTTGAAACAAAGGCAAAGAAGTGTGTCTTCCTTGGATATGCAGAAAATCAGAAAGGGTTTTGTTGCTATGATCCAGTCTCTGGGAGTTAATGTGTTACTATGGATGTTACTTTTTTTGAGTCCACATACTTCTCGAAGAATCCTTCTCAGGGGGAGTGTTTTGGGGAAGTGAGTGAGCAGTCTATCCCTCTTCTAGTTCCAGTTCCTGTGTCCACTCCTGTGCTTGATCCTCCTGTGTCACCTACCTTACCACCTCCCTTGTGTCATGCTTCTCAGCGTTACTCACGACAGAGACTTCATAGGGAGGTTGATTCCACTACAGCAAAACTCACATCACTTCCTGTCGGTTCCTTGGAGACTCCAGATTCAGCTGACATGGATTCAGGTATTCCTCTTGATCCCTCTATTGTTTCAGTTCCTATTGATTCTACTAACCTCATTACAGATAACCTGGACCTTCCTATTGCTCTTAGAAAAGGGAAGAGAAAGTGTACTGCTCATTGTATTTCAAAGTACCTATCCTACAATGGACTTTCTCCTTCCTACCGAGCTTTTCTTTTCTCTATTGACTCTGTGTCTATACCCAAGGGTGTCAATGAGGCTCTCTCCAAACCTAAGTGGAAGACAACTATGCAGGAAGAGATGGAAGCTTTAATTAAGAATCAGACATGGGAGATTGTGGACCTACCAGAGGGCAAGGAGACTGTTGGATGCAGATGGGTTTACACAGTCAAATATAAGGCAAATGGAAGTATAGAAAGGTATAAAGCCAGACTTGTTGCAAAAGGGTACACACAGACCTATGGCATTGATTACTTAGAGACCTTTGCACCAGTTGCAAAGATGACCTCTGTTCGGATACTTCTTTCTCTTGCAGCCACATACTCTTGGCCCCTGTTTCAACTTGATGTGAAGAATGCTTTCCTAAATGGAGATCTGCAAGAGAAAGTGTATATGGATCTTCCTGCTGGTTTCTACAGTGATG